AAAAAAAAAAACTGAACATAGTATTGTGTAAGCGATTGTAAATCTTACATTGTGACACTTAGTTATGAAATCTTCAAGCTTCAGACTCGACTTATCTTGCTCTCAAGCATAAGCTGCATTATGATGTAACACCTTGGAGGCATCTGATAGTATTTTTTATGAAGGCTTTCATAACCAAAAGGGGATTCGCCGATTTGGTGTCGATTCAGGATACGATGCAAAAAATTTGCTGCCGCGAGCCTAAATTTTACTTCCCAACTAGGGGATGTACATCCAACGTTATCAGGGTTTCCAGCGAAGTTTCTTTTCTGAATTGCAAATTTCCGATTCTGAAGGTTTATGACAAAGAATTGGGAGCGAAATTGTCGCTGCACTGGCCGCTGTCGATGGTTACACAATTTGAAAATCATTCTTCTAGGAGCTACTAAATCACAATACAACCGTTTGAGAAAAAGTTGTTTATCATCTCAAGATTTTATAACAGGATACTGTTTAGCAAATTTCTCAAAGTGACCGTCGGTGAAGGAAGGCCGAAAATAAAGCGCTAGAGTGAGTGGACTTGTTTTTCAGTTTTGAACTGTTCAGGAAGCCGCCTTTTTATTTTTTGACCTGTAACTGGCCGAACTGACTCGGAGAACGGGAAGTCGCATTCTTTCCCGCTCTATCAAAGATGAAAAGGAGAGGAAAATCATGCACGGTGGAACAGACGCGAGAGAAGGAAAACGATGGAGGAAAGAAAAGAAGAAAGTATGCAGAAACAAGGAACAGTCTTAGTAAATAGCCATAAATTGTATTTCTCTTCTACCGTTATCCTATTTCAGAACTGCATCAGTGTGGTGTATATGGTTGTAATACAGTGAGAAATTTTTCAAAATCTAGTCAGAACTGTTCTTTTGATAAGAAAAACAAATTTCCCAGTAAACTTTTCTTTTACAAGTTACTAGCAGATTTTAAGCAAAACTTTATTTTTTTTATATTGTATAGTTGCTCAATTAACACAAACAATCTTCAATAATAGCATTCGGTATTACGGTAAAACAAGTTGTAAAAAAAAAATACACGGGTAACGAAAGGCCTATCGCCTGAGACCAACAGCTTTGAAGGCAAAAGCTGCTACTGATAAGAGGAATGTAAATGTACACTAATGCGAACAACGCGGAAGAAAAAACTTTTAAAAACAGAAAAATACAATGACACGTTTAAAATTTTTGATTATCACAACAGTACATTAATATAAGTTCAAAATTAAGCAAATCAGTTTTCAGCATGTTGCTGAGAATGGAGGAGAAATATTACAGAACAAAATGCACAACTTTCAGCTGACCGTTTCTGTGGCAGATTCTCTCTGCAATAAATACAGATGTAAAAGTTTTGTTTTCTTGTGCTGACAAAAAAAAAGATAATTTTTTTGATGATCCTTCAGCTTTTTTTCACTAGCAGAAAAAAATAATGAAGAGAAGTCTTGTAAAGTTCTTTTGAAACACGGTAATTACAATTATTTTCACGTATGCCTTTTGTTGCCGGCAACTTTAAATCTTCAAAAATTGAAAGAACTTTTGCAAACCTTAGTTAATAAAGAATAACAACAAGCTGTTTTCTGTACGGTTACTGGCAGCACACTGTTTAAAAGAGTTGTCTATGAATATAACAGTAAAATAAAATACTGTTATTGACATTCATTGCTTTTGAAGAGTTCAAATGTGGCGCATCATTTTGGGAAAGATGAAAACGAGGAAGAGGAGAAGAGGAAGTCAAAATTAACAGTATATAAAGTTTTACTGGCTAAACTCCAACCTATTTTCTTTGTAGTCGTTAAGAAGACCTAGTTTGTCTGGAAAACATAAGCTTATCTCTAATAATGAGAACAAATAATAATGGATTTTTACCATTTTTGTAAAGAAAGACAATAATATCAAAAAGTTAAAACAAATAGGAAAAATAATCTAATGCTAAAAAAAAAAAACTGAGACAAAATTTTAAAAGGAGGTTTTTCGTTGTAAGTGAAAATAATCTGGCATTGACGAAACATTTGACAATTGCAGAAGTTAATAATAATTTAGAAAATATACAAGTTTTTTTTTTCACTTACATAAATTCAATGTTTTTTACAAAATTATGGACTATTTTTTCAGTTTTATAAACTTTGAAAAAAATTTTTATTCAAAAAAAAAACAGCTCTCAAACGTATGTTGTAAATATCTGAATGAAAATTCTAAATGTTCTTTTTTTTTTCTCTTTTGAAAATAAAGTTCAGGCTTCTGTGGATCTTTCAGAAGACATAACACGAAGGCAAGACTGTAGTTCTTACAATCACCATTCTCAGTTATTTTTAGACTTGTGCCTCACGTCGTGCTCCAGCACCTGTGTTGCTTCTGGAGAAGCTTTCCTGAAACGAAACGGGGTAGCTGTAACAGTAATTTTTTACATGTCGTACAGAAGTTCTAGTAATTTGACAAAAAAAATAATTTTTTTCTCAAAAAGTTTCACAGTGCTAGTGTTTTGACAGGTTATCGTACATAGCAAACGTTATGTATATATCTGTAACAGTCATCTTTGTTCACTATGTTTTAGCGGCAGATCTAACCTCGCTTTGCTGCGTAATGTCATTCTCGTTAACTGGTAGCCGAGTAGCTGGATTCATTGCTGCTGCTGCGCGAACCGGTTCATGATCCCAGAGATTTTCTTTTTGCAACAATGGTCTTGAACCTAATCCCGCATTGTATCCATTGGAAAGGTATTGTCGTGGAGCCGTTGCATTGTCATCAGCAGTTGTATCTTGGTTACGAATAACACAGCTGCAAGTTTTCAGCAGTCATAAGCAAAATTTCTTTTTCTCACTAGGCAGCATAAAAGTTTCGTTTCTTTAGTAAATTTTTTTGATAATTTTCTCAACAGATACTTACATTACCTATTTTTTAAATGATATAATCATAGGCAATCAGCAGAAAACAATTTTTTTTTTGAAATAAAATAATTGAAATTGCGTAAAATCTAACACATAGTAGAAAACGACTGCTACAACAATACACAGGAGAACGAGGCAAAGAAGTACGGCAAGAACAATAGTCCATACTCTATACGAACTTGCTACACCCTAAAAATTTGTGTTCAGTTGTCTACAGACGGCGTAACGTCAAAAACTTCTTAAAATTTTATCAGTATTTATTTAAAACTTACACTTTTCTGTATGATCAATTGATTCATTGCGAAACAATCGTTATGATTTTCGTTAAATCCTCGCTCACATACTTTACAGTCGCTTGCCTAAAACTTTTTTTTTTTTTTTTTTGCTAAATACATTAATCTAACATTCAAGTTCTTTTTATCTAGCCAAATAAAGTTATATTGGTAATCTAAGTAAAATTACCCGATTTCCACTAAATCTACAGACTTTTTGTACACCATCATTTGATATACACGTTGCATATCCAGGTCTGGAAGTTGTCTGATTACATGATAAATCACATTGATCACCATATCTGCTGCCAGTGCACTGCCACGAGACCGTGAGTGAAATCCTAAATTGATGGTTTATTCTATTGCTCATTCGCTTATTGTCATTTCAATCAAGAAGCATATTGAAACATTAAAAAAAAAAATTTTTTTTATAAATGATTCTATTTTTGGGTCTTGTAGCTTTTTAAATGCAAGTGTAAAATTTTTAAGAGAAAGATAAAAATTCTTTGACAAAATAAGTGTAGAAACAACGAAGGACAAGAACTTGAAACGTGAAAACTCACGAGGTTCCCAATGCTTGATTATCCCGTCTATATACAGAAGTATTAGCGCTAGGTGTGAAACCAAAATTTTCCACTACACCAAATGCATTGTAATTAAGTAAAGCTCCTGATAGGTCGATAACAAGACCATAGTGCTGAATAACTACGTCCACAGATATCTAAATAAAATTTATCACAAATATATTATAAGAACCCTTTAAATTGTTTAGAAAAATTAATGTTTCTTCTTTTCAACTACTACTTTACAGCTACCAATAGTTATTGGTCAACTGAAACAGTAACAGCTACAACCAGTAAAACAACACTGATGAACCAAAAAGCAGAATATGTTTATAATACCGGTGCTGTTGTCATTTCCACGGTGTGTGTTTGTTTCCAACGTGTATCATCTATCACCCCTTCTCTAATCGGAAGAAATTCGGTACTTATATATTGTGCAGACTGCCTAAAACAGATGCTTATATGTAATTTTTAGATTAAAATCAATAAAAAACGAAAAATTAATAGGCAATTTATTAAAAAAAATTTTTTCTCCTTTAAAAAATTCTTATGAGAAGCAGTTTTATTTATTTGTCTGTTACCGATGTTAGAAACCAAAATGTAAACAAATAAAAAGAATTTCTGTGGTACGATAAGGTTAATTTACTTGAACTAAATTCTTGAGTTGATTGAGACGTCTGTTACTAAGGACTAACCCTCATTTGCTACAGTGAATTTGCAGTTTATAGAAGATACAGCATAATATTATTTTTTTTTTTCAAATAAACGACAACTGAAACTTATTTCTGATAATTAATCAGTTGAAATTTTACACGGATATAATAGAATAATGATTAAAAAAAGTATTGCATTATACTTTTTTATGCCAAATTAAGCAAATAAAAAAAAAACTTATTGTTTAACTAAAGAAAAAGAACAAAAATTTTCAAATTAATTTTTTTCATCTTGCACTACTTCAGCTTTATATATTTTGAATAAAAAAAATTTTTTTTTGAGATACATAGAACGAAGAAATCTTTTTGTTTCTAAACTACAATTGCATTTTAAAGGAACTGTTTGGTTAGCGTAAAAATAGGGTAGCCGCATTATTCATCAATACATTTTTCAATAATAAAAAAAGAGAAAAAAAGGAAGCAGAATAGAAAGATGATAAACTGTTTGTGCAACAGCATAATAAATGTTTTTATATAGGTGCACTAAAGCGTTAGGTCTTTTTGATCGATAAGAAAAGTGAATAAAAAGAATTAGCGTATATCCAAGAAGAAACCTGTTAAAAAAAGAGATCTTCAGTTTTAGTAGGTACAGTTATTATCTCAAAGCGATCAGTTCCAACTTTCATTTATTAAGCAACAAAATTAAAAACAAATTTATAGGATAAAGAAAAAGCTTTCAATAAGATCTCACAATTTTGGCAATAGATCACTGTCGGCTTAGAAGTGTAACAGAATTGTCACTACTATAAACCGTTGTATAGTTTACCAAATACAAAAAAAAACAAAAAAAAAAATTTTTTTTCGTTGAAACAGCTGTTTTAGAAAAAGGAAAAAAAAGTGTACAGAATTTTGGTTGGTATTGAAGCAGTCATTTACCCTTTAGCTGATAGTATAACCGTAAAGGAGAACCAACAAGATGGTTCACCGCTTTTGATGTACGCACACGTTTTTCCAGTCGGGCAAATGCAGGTGGCATTTGGCGACACTCTAAATTCTTTACTTTGATAGTCAGTGATTTGAACAGTCACTGAAGCTCCACTAGTTGAATTTCCCTAAACATTTCACTTTGTCAAAACAGATAGGTGAAAAATAAATTGATTCTACAATAACTGTTTAAGCAGTTTACTAAATCATAAAAAAATTCAAATTATAACGATAATGAGGATTAAGTATTTGGTCGTAAAAATTTTGTCAATAGAATGATTTTGTTTACTCGACAGATAGTACGAAAACTGCTAGTGCAAAATTGTAAGGATAGTTAATGAATGAAAAAAAAGCCATTGTTTTGTTAATTTATTTGTGCTTTTTGAGGGAAGAAAAAGAAGAAGACAAAAAAAGGAAACGTTGTTTTACAGATTGAGATGGAACGCTGATAAATCCGGCAGCCCGAGGAGCATAAGCCAAATTTCGTTGCTGGCCATTTGCAGCACCAAAGGGTTGCTGCCGATTAAGCTGTGGTTGATAAAACTGATTTCCGTTATTCACCTGATTTGTCCGTTGACCAGACTGATACATTGGATGAAATACTTGCCTTCAAATATTACATTAAAACTAATTTTTTTTCCTTATTCTGAATCACTGAAAAGACGACAAGGGAAAAAAAGTTCTATTCTGGAAAGTCTACTTTCAGTTACATAACTAAACATTGTTTCAGGTTTAAAGTTTTCTTGCCGTTTGTAAAAAAAAAAGAATCATGTTGCATACTAATAGTAAAAAAATTTTCTCGTCAAATTTTTGACCAAAATAATATTTTTTAATAAATGTTACAAATTAAAAGTGGGTAGAAGTTATTACTTTTTTTCCCCCTATTATCCTAAGTAATTGCAGAACAAAATGCAAAAAAACTGATGAAACAACAAACTAATTGACACTTTAAATTACACAGAAAAAGTTCTGACCATTATATCGGTCTATAAGTTAAAAAAAAAACAGCAATGATATTATGCTAATTTTTTACAGCAATTTGTACAATCAAATTTTAACACTAGAAGAAAAAGAAAAAACTTTTTCTTTGATGAATTAGCAAATGTTTACTTTTTTGTACAGAAATCAATGTACTCAAAGATATTTATATTTTTATCCTAATTTTTAACTGCTACGTTGCAAACTCATCCTCAGAAAAAAAAAATACTGGTAAAAATAAATAAATAAGAAAATAATGAAGAAAAAAATTATCAGCTCAAAAAATTACAATTCATCGATGAAATGTCGCCTAAGAATAAAAGAGAAGTCAGTTAACACTAAGCTGAATGCCTAATATTCATGCTTTTTTCTCAAAGTTTTATTAGTAATCTTTTTTCATATTTCTCTATGCTTTTGGACATTAGAAAAAATGACCTTTCAACAAAAGTTAATGTTTACAATACTAATTTGAGTGTACAATAATAAATTTCATCTGTTAAGCTCAACCGTTGTCGATGTCCACTTCCACCATGCCTCCGTCTTTCCCCTTCACAGTTGATTCTTGTCTTTCCTCTTCCCTTGTCCCTTTTTTTTCCCCTTCCCGTGCCCATGTCGCTTTTTTCATCAAAAAAAAAAAACTAACTCTACTTCTCCATCCACAGTTAAACCTAGTTTCTGCGTATAACAAATATAAATGTAACTTAAAAAGCGACAAAACACTTCACTTTAAAAAAAAAAAAAAGAAAATTATTTAAACTTTTTTGTACTGCTAAAACAGTGCTCTAATGTTCCTCTTTTTTTCATTTATACAGTTAAATTTTTAGTCTTTTTTGTAGCAGAACATTTTGCTGTCTTTATTACTTCTTACTCAACATTTCAAATATCAATTTGAAAAAAAGTGTCACTTTTTACCAAGAGGAAGAACAAACTAACAAATATATACAGCTGCTGCAGTAAGACTGACAAATAAGAAAAGAAAAGAAAGTAGAATGATTATAAAATAAAATAAAAAATTAAACAAATTATACATTAAAAAACGCAAATACAGTAAAGAAATATTGAATAACTTACTGCTGAGATTGCATTTGATTTTGCGGTTGATAATACTGATTTGCTCCATAGTACTGTTGTGCGACAACCATCAAACGGGCAACCAACAGTATTGCTACCAGTTCTAATATCAGTGTTTTGTAAAAACTTGCTGCCATTCTAAAACGATTTAGTGTATTTAACGAAAAACTTTATTTGGCTAATTTTTTGTCAACTAACGATACACAGGTGATCCTAGTAGAGGAATAAATAAATAAATATTGAAAAAAATAAAAATGAAAATAGTAAACTTTTTCTTTCATTTTTGTTTTTGTACTTTCTTTTATTCTGCAAAATATTTCAAAAATGGTATTGTGCAGCAACAGAAAAAAGACTGTACGGTGGAGGAATGTCTTATCGCTTCATTTTGAAATGGCATCAATGCTTTTCTTTTCTTTTTTTTTTTTTTTTTTTTTTAGGGGG